TTTCTTATCTATTTCGCTATATGGTGTATAAAAATATGGATATCAGCATCGCAGTAGTAATTAAAATTCTAAGAAGTACCGTTGAAGAACTCGAGCGTATGAAAAACTGTCTTACTTGCGATGAAGAGTGCGATGATATTCTATTTACCATGTCCAAGTTGATTCATTCTACATCAGTGGTAAGATGAGTCCAATTTCTCTGACATTTTTCTCAGTTTTTCTCTTCATATAGCTAATGATATCAAAAACAGTCGAGGAACAACGAGTCATCCATAGACTGATATATCGTTTAAACCGTTCAAATTTCAAAACAAATAAAAACGGTTCATCACTGCTACATATCTGTCTCAATACGTATACTTTTGAGTAAGTTTAAGATTTATGCAAACTATGGTGACACTTTCGATAATTTTTTCTAGCTCTCATTCTATATCTGCTGCTTATTTGTTAATCGACAATGGTGCAAATATAAATATCATGGCCAATGATCGCAACACACCACTCCACATAATTGCTGCCAAACGTGACGCATCAATTGCTATACCGATCATAGATAAGCTTCTCGAACATGGCGCACATATGGATGTAGTCAACTACTATGACGAAACTCCTACAGAAGCATCAATTGCTATACCGATCATAGATAAGCTTCTCGAACATGGCGCACATATGGATGTAGTCAACTACTATGACGAAACTCCTACAGAAGGCTCCTTTTCGACAGAAATTTCATGCCATTTAAAAAGTAAATCAACAATATCGCTTAAATGCATTCTGGCTCAAACTATTGGTCAGATGAATATCGATTACTCAGAGCAATTGCCAGTAACATTGAAACACTTCATTGAGTTACATTCAGTGCCGAACAGACAAATACGAAAACGCTTTTATTATGATCTCACACACACTTATCTTGAGAGCTACTATGACTCGGGCATAAACTTCGATTATTACTAGTGCAGTAATACGGTTTTTATGTGGCTAATGAATAGTAGAAGGAGTGAATTTGTACGTTTATTGTGAAATGCGCCGACTTTTCCGATACGGCAACATTGAGAGAAACATGAATTTAAATCAATAATGAAATGTGCAATATATCCAATTTAAGCCAGGCATCTTATTCAGTTTGATTTGTCTTCAGTTGCTGTGTGCTGTGACCATTAATGAGTGTTCGAGAACGAGATCACCTTCAAAACAACCTGTTCGTCCAACAGGCGGCGAAGCTGGAATATCAATATCATTGGCATATGAAAGAATGAAGTATAAAATATCTACAGAAGAATGTAATGTTTACAGTATAATCAACACTTCCATTTACGGAACCTTTTTTTTATTGCACAGGAATGATCTAATCTGTACATTTTTTTTCCATCAGTTCCATTTACTGATGCTTCTGGGTATTTAAAATAAATTTAGATGCATTGTTTTTATGGGTACCCAGGTCAATGAATCCTACGATAGGATCTTAGTTGGATCCTAAAAGATCTTATAGGATCCTATTATAGGATCTTGTAGGACCGGATATGATCCGATGAAAATCCGATAGGATCTTATAGGAAATACGTAGGCAATCTTAGTGGTGTAAACCATGTAGGATTCGTACAATCGGATCCTATCAGATCCTACAATAGGACTGAAAGGTATCCTATAGGATTTGACAGGATTTCATCTGGTAATTTGACAACTGGACCAGCAGCTTAACTTAATATGTAACGATCGTCCGTCTGTTCCATATGATGCTCTGCCTGAATTTGCTGTGTTTTTTTTATGTTGCTGTGTTTTCTTTATTTTTCATGCACCGTTCTTTTCTGATGCATAAAAACAACCAAATCTTTTCCAAGAAACAAAAAACTCTATACTACGAAAAAAACGTAAGACTAAACTGTATAAGAGAAAACATCTTTTCTTTAAGTGACAAAAACAACGATAAATATATATATAACAAAAATAACAGCAAGTTTATTATTAATAACAACAATAAAATTCTCGTAAATCAGATGTTTTCACTAAGAAATTAGTTGAATTTCAAGAACAAATTATTGATCGATTTAAGAATGAAACATTAATTGATGTTCAAGGTGAAAAAATGGACTTTGATTAACACGCATATATGAAAGAAAATGCCAGAAAATTTGTTGAATCTTTTCTTCTGTTAATTGGTAGTTGCTTGTTGTGGTTGCTGTCCATATGTTGCTTGTTGTTCATCTGCTGCTTGTTGTAATTGTTGTTGTGCTTTTAATTTTTTTCGAATATCACATAAACATTGTGTTAACGTTCTATGCATACATTTTTGGAAAAATTCATCCCATTTTTGTGCACTTATTTTATATTTCCTTCGGACAGCATCTGAAAAGAAAGAAATCTGGAAGATCTAGAAAATGAAACGAAATAGAGAATGTATTTTGGAATACAAAGGACTGTTTCAAAAAAATTTGTTTGGTTTTGTGAACTCTTTAGTTGAATCCCAAATTTCAGCCCTCTAGAACTCGGTAGCTGCGAAACAAAATACTATGAAGGCTTCCATGTGCTAATCTTTCCGTGAAGAAACTTGTTAACTCATTCGATTGCTTCCCTTTCCTGCTTCCGCTTCAAGTATCGCAATTGTTGCGTTCAGTTGTACTACTCGAACGAAATAGATTTAAAACGATTTCCACCTTTTTAAAGTTATCTATTAAACTATCAAGGCTTTTTTTACAAAGACATTCAACGAAGAAGAGAAATAGGTCAATGTATACAATTGTTTATTGTGTCTTACTTTTAAAAACAGACATTCTGGCAATATCTAAATGTGGTCGTTTATATTTATCATTCGGGAGTAAAATTGACGATGCTAATTCATTAACTGAAAACAATTTTTTTATCAAATCACGGCCGTACTGTTGATGATCTCTCGCGTGGTGATGAACTAAATCTTCCCCATTAAATATCTAAAAGAAACAGAATTATGAACACCTGTAATTGAGTGGAACCGAATCACGAGTTTATACTTACTACTTCAGTTGGAAATTGTTCGCCAGTTTCTGCTTTAAACTCATCAGTATTTGTTTGCAACTAAAACAGATATGGAAACGACTACATTCGATGATCCATCTGAAGCGCCCCAAAAAAACAAGCCTGTACTTGATAGAATTTGCCCACATAGCTACTCCTCACTCTTAGTGTGCGATCCGATTCAAAAGAATATTGCTTTACATATATTTTCAAATCTGTTTTGTGCGCTCTTACATAGCTAAAAAGGACAAACACCATACGATCGTCAGTTTCGGTCTGTTCAGAGCTTTACTAAGAATAACAAGAAACGTTTCAATTGTTTTAGGTGTCTGCATTGTCTGCAAGACTTTCTCTTTCTATAGTAAAAGCGCTCGTAAACAATAGGCGTATAACAGGAGAAAGTTGGTCTAGGCTAACTCTGAGATGGCTTGTCTAAATCTTTTGAAACTCGACACTTAAGGGTTTGAGGCCAAGGTCTTTCTTTTGTGTAGTGAACGCTTTAGTCCAAAATGCTCGCAAATAGGGTTTTCAGAAAACCATGGTTTTTGACCTACATATGATGAATAAAATGCATTTTAAAAGAAAGTGGGTGAAAATGGAAC